TGCTCTAATCTCTGCCGAAGAGCTTTGATCAGTTCCGGTTGAACTACAATATGCACAAGATGCATATGGCTCTTCCAGAACTGCTTGCAGAGCTTCAGTCGGCGGAGGCCTTATTCACTCAAGCACCTTAGGTACTAGTCGCCGAGCAGGCTGGACCTTCCAGGCCTCACAAGGGCAGGAAGAGAAAGAAGTCTGCGGGAAAGGCGAAGGCACATGATGCTCCGGTTTTCCCACGACCGGCCCTTCAAGGTGTGGCAAAGAAACCGAAAGGAAGATGCCACAAGTGCAACAAGTCAGGACACTGGAAGGTCGACTACCCTCTCCTCAAGAAAGGTAACTCTCTCATTAATGTCGTATAAACATGTTTAGTGGTTGTATCTACCAGAACCTGGTGTGTAGATACTGGAGCCACTGATCATGTCTGCAATTCATTGCAGGGGTTCCAGGACACCAAGCGGCTTAAGGAGGGAGAGATCACCGTCTACATGGGCAATGCTACGAAAGTGGTGGCTGTTGCAGTGGGAGACGTTACTTTATCGTTTGATAGTAGTAGTTTGGTTTTAAGAAATTGCCTTTATGTCCCTAGCTTTAGAAAGAATCTTGTTTCAGTTTCTAAACTTGTTATGGATGGTTTTTCAGTTTCGTTTGATGACGTGGTTATTATTCGTTTTGGAAATTGTTTCATATGTTGCGGTTCATTAGTTGGCAATTTATATGTGCTCAAACCAAACTCTCCCACAGTGCAACAAAATGAATTGAATAATGTCATAACTACATCTAATAAGATGAAGGATTCTTTGCAGATGAATCAAGCATATCTGTGGCACCTTAGACTTGGGCACATCAACCTTAGGAGGATTCAAAAGTTAGTGGCCAGTGGACTTCTCGGTCCATTGGAAGAGCACTATCCAACTTGCGAATCTTGCCTGGAAGGTAAGATGGCCAATAGGCCGTTTACAGCAAAGGGGTATAGGATCCAATAAGTGCTAGGATTGATTCATTCTGATTTTTGTGGTCCTATGTCGATCCAGGCTAGAGGAGGTTTCGAGTACTATGTGTATTTTATAGATGATTACTCGAGATTTGGGTATGTTTACCTGTTGCACCGCAAGTCCGAATGCTTTGAGGAATTCAAGGAGTATCGGGCAGTTGTGGAGAAGCTTCATGGTAAAAGTATCAAGTCACTTCGTTCTAATCGAGGTGGCGAGTACCTCTTTGGAGAATACAGGACATACTTATCGGAAGTTGGGATTGAATCCCAACTGACTGCACCCAGCACGCCCTAGTAGAACGGGGTTGCAGAGCGAAGAAATAGAATTCTTATGGAGACGGTTAGCTCTATGATGAGTTATTCGAGGTTACCAGATTTGTTCTAGAGTTTGGCATTGGAAACATCATCGTATATTCTGAACATGGTTCCATCGAAGTCAGTTGACACTACTCCTTATGAGATGTGGAAAGGGCGCAAGCCCAGTTTCTCACAGTTTCGAGTTTGGGGTAGTCCTTGACACGTGTTAGTGCAGGAACCTGCCAAGTTGGAGAAACGTTCGGAAGCACGGGTTTTCGTTGGCTATCCCAAGGGAACGAAGTTGGATTATTTTATAGTCTCGAGGATCAGAAGGTGATCGTTTCGACGGATGCTAGATTCTTGGAAGAAGACTATATTATGAATCATAAGTCCGCGAGTAGACTAGTCTTAGAGGAGATAAGGGGTGAAATCGATGGTTCCCCACCGAGTGCGCAAGTAGATACATCACATAATACTGCAACACGGAACACTGAGAGTGTACCAGTGCAGACAGTGCCTCATCGCAGTGGGCGGGTTTCTCATTTACCCGACTGATGGATAAGTCTTGGAGTCATCGAAATCAGTTCCAGAAAGCATATAATCGGACCCAAGAACTTACAATGAGGCACTCCAAGATAAAGATGTAGATTCATGGAATGTTGCAATGAAAGCTGAAATGGGGTCAATGGACTCCAATCAGGTCTGAGATCTTGTAGAACCACCCGATGGGATACGACCCATTGGATGTAAGTGGATCTATAAGAGAAAGAGAGGATCAGATGGGAAGGTGCAAACCTTCAAAGCTAGGCTTGTTGCGAAAGGTTATACCCAGATTGAGGGTATTGATTATGATGAGACCTTTTCTCCAGTAGCTATGCTTAAGTCCATTCGGATTCTCTTGGCTGTAGCCGCTCATATGGACTATGAGGTCTGGCAGATGGATGTCAAGACAACTTTCCTTAATGGGTACCTGCAGGAAGATATCTCTATGCAGCAACCAAAGGGATTCATTGCTGAAGGTCGTGAGCATCTAGTGTGTAAGCTTAATCGGTCTATTTATGGACTGAAGCAAGCTTCGAGATCTTGGAACCTCTGTTTTGATGAGGTGATCCAGTCGTACGGGTTCACTCAATGTACGGATGAACACTGCGTTTACAAGAAAATAAGTGGGAACGTGGTGGTGTTTCTTGTGCTTTACGTAGATGACATACTGCTTATTAGAAACAGTAAGAAGGAGTTGTCAGACGTAAAGGTGTGGTTGTCTAAGTAGTTTGATATGAAGGACTTAGGTGAAGCATAACACATTCTTGGTATTAAGCTCATTAGAGACCGTAAGAAGAAAATGTTGTGGTTATCCCAGTCTTCATACATAGATACTGTCTTGGCCAGATTCAGCATGCAGGATTCCAAGAAAGGTATGTTACCTTTCAGACATGGAATACTTCTATCTAAGAAGATGTCTCCTAAGACGTCTAAGGAGATAGAGGAGATGGAGATAGTTCCTTATGCTTCGGCAGTAGGAAGTCTCATGTATGCAATGTTGTGCACTAGGCCGGATATTAGCTACGCCGTTGGCATGGTAGCTAGATATCAAAGTAACCCGGGACGGGAACATTGGTCTGCGGTGAAGCATATACTCAAGTACCTGAGAAGGACTAAGGAGTACATGTTAGTTTATCGTGCAGACAGCTTGTTACCTCTGGGTTACAGTGATTCCGATTTCCAGTCAGATAGGGATGGAAGTAAGTCAACCTTAGGTTATGTGTTTACCTTGGGAAGTGGAGCCATTTCATGAAGGAGTGCTACGCAGAAATGCGTGACAGGCTCCACCATAGAAGTCGAGTACATACCAGCCTCAGAGGCAGCGAAAAAGGCAGTTTGGCTCAAGAACTTCTTAGTGGACTTAGAGGTTATATCGAGTTTGCCACGTGGTATCACCGTGTACTGTGATAATAGTGGAGCAGTAGCAAACTCAAAAGAACCTCGAGCCCACAGGGCAAGCAAACACATAGAGCGCAAATACGATCTGATTCGGGATATCGTTGGTAGAGGAGAAGTTGATGTTGCCAAGATTGCGTCAGAGGACAACCTAGATGATCCTTTCACGAAGAGTTTGCCGGGTAAGGTCTTTGTCAAACACGTGGAAGGAATGAGAGTCATGAGGCATGACAATAGAATCGACATAGGTCTTTTAGAATAACAGATTGATAGGACTATACTGTAAAAACGAAAGCTTTAATATAGCTGGAGATTGTTAGTGCTATATACTGGAAGCTTGGCTTTGCATGTTATTACACATTTGCCCTTTATGAATGAGAATCATGTTAGATTAAACAAGTTCTACGTTCTGTTGTCCTGCACTTAGATAGGGTGGGTCGTCATCGGTCGAACCGAAGATCACTCTATCAGTTACTTGCGAACAAGAATAGTTGTTCACAACCTAGATAGACATGAACACCCCATCCGAACTGTTGTATTGTCAACTGTACAATTTGTCTTGACTGATTAGTTGCACTAGTACATTTATGTATTGAACAAGATCCCAGAGAGGAGAAGTTCATTTTATACTGATCGTCGTAAATGAACTAGGCCTCGGTTAATTATTGCGTTCTCTTAACCCGTAAGATATTAAACAGGCAGATATATATAATATATATTACATTGATTCACATGGGTGAGGTTTAGTTCGCTGGATTAATATTCCTACTGTTTTGGGTAATATTATTATATATAGGATGTGCTGTTAGGATATTTACGGTCACCATGTGCGTTAGTTTGATGATGTCTCCGGAGTGAGTTGATGAAGGATTGTGATGAATGAGCGCTAAACCCTGCAGGTGGATTAAGTTCCGGCATAATAAGAATGTGATGAATGAGCGCTAGCTTCGGTGAAATAATAATAAATTAATTAATTCTTGATTGTCAGTAATCGAATTAATTAATGGACATTATATCTTAAACGTGGGGAGGTAAATCGAGTAATGATTATTGGAGTTTCAAATGTAATTTGGGCTAGGAAAAAGGAGTGCAATAATATAATGTTGGTGGCCCATTAATATTATTTAATTAATTAGAGGAGTGGGCTTGTCCCACAGTTAGTCTAATTAATTAAAGTTGGTGGGCATGTCCATTATACAGACATGCCGCCCACGCCTCTCATCTCTCTCTAAATCTCATTCGAGCTTTATCTTCTTCTTGTTGCTCCACTGATACAAGTTGAAGAAGGGTGTATTGAGTAATACAGTAGAAGATCTGTAGGTAAACCGAGACGAAATATATTTTATCCTACAGAACTAACCGGAGGTCCGATTGAGGCGCACAGCATACCCAGACGGCCGTCTCGACGAGAGCTTTCCATCGCCGCCGTCCGACGCCGCACGCGCCCTCATTCTCCGTCGGGAGCTCGCTGGCTGCAAAGTTCGTCTTCAACTGTTTGCACCCGTTTGATCTGATTTTGATCTTGTTCGTGCAACCCAAGACGTGATTTGCGGTCAACCATTCATGGTCAACCAGATCTACATAAATTTTAAGCCGTAAGTTTTCTACGTCAAACCTTTAGATCCACTGCGCATAGGTTTAGGTTTACTATTGAATTCGTTATTTGTACACAACGAGATCCTCACAGATCCCAACAATCTATAGGCCAACATGCGGTAACCGCAACAACCAATCGCCGAACTGCGGGCAGACTATCCGCAACAGGTGCTTCGAGTCACGCCGCATCGCCAGGTAGGGACCCGTTAGGGCAAGCCGAGCAGTGTGTAGTGACCTGTCGACGAGCAATCACGACGTTCCGTCGATGAACAAGTGGGCGATCCACGGACGACACACAAAAGAGACACAACAGTGCGCAGGCGAGGCGCAAGTCGCGTGCGAGAGGAACAACAAGCTGGCCAGCGAGGCTTGAGGCGCAAGACGCAAGGTCAGCACGCAAGTCGACGAGGCAGACACCCACGACCGCGCGAGACCACGCGACTGTAGACGGGACGCACTGGCAGCTAGATCGTCGTCCAACAGATCCGGGAATCCTACATAAGGCGTGTGTAGAAAGCAGAGCAACGAGCCTTGAGGGGCAAGATAACCTAATTTCCCTAGTTTAGTTATTGCTATAAGTCTATTCCTAATTTGCACATGTATTTGATTATTTTGGTGATTCTTAAGATCATATATATTTACTTTCCTTAGGATTAGAATTTAATTCCTCATTGACTTATTATTTCTCTTCTTTAAATAGCCTATTTACTCATCTTTGATTTCATTAAGCAATAAGATATAACAAAGAGTACTCTTTCGAGCACAAAACCTCTTGTGTTAATCAAGGTCGTTAATACGTGTTTCCACAAACACAATACCACGATACAAGATTTTCATCGATTTGCCCTGGCTTGGGACAATACAAAAAATGAGGTTTTACCAAATAAAAATGAAGCATGGAGATTTTTGTATTGAAACTATAGACTCTCATAAATAAACACATATTTATAATCTATAAAACAACTAGTAACAATAAAATCAAACTATTTGCACAACTCAATTTAGTGGGATGACATCTCAAATGGAAGTCTAAACTACACAAACACAACCCCCCACCCCCCCCAACTACATTACTCTCAGTGTAGAATACAACTTTTTAAAGAGAATAGACAAGCATGGAGACTTGAAGGGAGAAGAAATGGATTTTAAAAGATCTCTCATAATTTTGTAGAAGAAGTTCAGAACGCTTCGTGGTAGAGGTTTTTGGTATTGTAATGGGAAGTTCAAAAAAGAGGTGAAGTATTTGTCAATGGGCTTTTTTCCTGTATATTGGGCTATCATGTCGTCTTGTTGGTGGGCTTGATGGACCACCAGCTGGGTCGCCCTGTCAGGCCCATTTGGATGGCTATAGTTGGAGATGCCCTAAAAATCCTAATCGCGCCTATAAAATAGCACCGCAAAACCCTGTCCCTCCCGTAAACCTATCACGACAATCTTGTTGACACACTTCTTCACTTACAGAGCAGACATGGTTGCCAGAACTCCAACCAGAGGTATCTTAACTCGCACATTATTCGTCGACCGGAGATTTTTCCTGTAATATTTTTTGCAGGAGCTAATGAAGACATGTATTTTCATCTGCTTGCAGGAGGCCGTGGCGGTGGTAGAGGAGGAAGGGGAGATGGAAGTGGAAGAGGAGGTTTTACTGGTGGAAGAGGTGGTTTTGGTGGCAGGGGAGATAGCGCCATGAAGAGAGGCGGCGGAAGAGGCGGAAGGAGAGGTGGTCGCGGCGGTGGCAGGGGTGGAAGAGGAGGAATGAAAGGAGGAAGTAAGGTTATAGTTGAGCCACACAGACACGACGGTGTTTTTATTGCAAAGGGGAAAGAGGATGCGCTCTGCACAAAAAATATGGTTCCTGGTGAAGCTGTTTACAATGAGAAGAGGATCTCTGTTCAGGTTCGGATTTGGGATTAAAATGCATTAATCATTGTTGTACCTGAGTAGTTATTGATATGGTTGAAGAGTTTATAATGTTGATTTGTTCCGTCAGAATGAAGATGGAACTAAAGTTGAGTACAGAGTATGGAATCCTTTCCGATCGAAGTTGGCCGCTGCAGTTCTTGGCGGAGTTGATAACATTTGGATTGTGAGTTTACCTATCGATACATTTATGTTTAGCTACCAATTTAGTTTTTCTGAAATAACATTTGGATTGTTGCACTAACCACAAAAATGTGGTACTAGCTGAGAAAGTTTTTTTTTTTTTTTTTTTTTAATTCTTTTATGAGTGGAAGAAGTCATTAGAATTTGTTTTGTTCTTATTTATTTGGTCAGTAAAAACACTTGGCAAAATTTGCAACTTACCCATTGTTCATTTGTATATTAAACTATTCACTTTGTGGCTTATCATACTTTTTGTTGTAGTTATTTAACTACTATTAACTATGCAATATACAATTTTTGGCAAAAGTTGAAGGCTTGAAGCTTTTGGAATTGGCATGTCTATTATTTGCAAATGTTGTTGTTTTATTTAGTGCTTTTTCTGAAATTTATTGGTTCTATTTTTACAAGAAACCTGGTGCTCGTGTGCTTTACCTCGGTGCTGCTTCTGGAACCACTGTTTCTCATGTTTCTGACATTGTTGGCCCTGTGAGTATCGGTCCATTTTTGCAGTTAAGATCAGTTTTGATGTTCACTATACTGCTTCTGATGAATTTAATTTCATATTTACCTGTTCTTTGGCAGGAAGGGGTGGTTTATGCTGTTGAATTTTCTCACAGAAGTGGAAGGGATTTGGTGAACATGGCTAAGAAAAGGACTAATGTTATTCCCATTATTGAGGATGCAAGACATCCTGCAAAGTATAGGATGCTTGTTGGCATGGTTGATGTCATATTTTCTGATGTTGCGCAACCTGACCAGGTCTGCTTTAACTGTATAATTTATCTGATTTCCCAACCAATATTAATCATTCCTCCATGTTTATAGTTCAAAGTATATCATTTATGCTAACCATCAAATTGTATTGTCTCATCTTTCTTTAGGTGTAACACTTCATGATTTGTGGCTATGTCATGTGCTGTTACTTCTCTGCTAGATCTTGTATTTTGAAGCTATCTTATCTTATACTTGCCCCTCTAACAGGCACCAGTCATATAATGAATTGTTTTGTTACTCTTATACATTTGTGTGTTTGTGTGTGTACAACCTACAACCTATTGTCTTTTTACAATTTTTTGGGCTTTAATCTGATGAAGCAGATGACGATCATACTCGGATTCCCCTTCAGGACATCATGGGTGATGCAAAAACCGAGTTTCTGATGCATTTTTGAATTCATTACTCTTTTTTTTTTTTTTTTNGTATCTTAATTTTCTACACATGCATGAAATATAATTTTCTTTTTAAATAACTGTGTATGTTTTGTGACTTTGAATTTTGAGACCATGTTTTATAGTTTTTGATGGGAATTCATTTTTTGTTGTACTTTATTTATTTTATACTGCATGGGCTAAAGTATGTTTTTGCTAAAGCTCATCTTGTTATGTTTTCAACTATTTGTTGTATTTTGTATATTCATATTTTTAATTTACTTTATTCTTTTGCTTTAAAAATTTTCTTATACCGACATCATGAGTGATGCAAAACCGAGTTTCTGATGCATTCTTCGATTCATCTGAGCTCTCTTCTTAACACTTATAATTTTCGATTCAAATGTCACTTGAGGAGCATGATGCTGCCTAACAATGGGAGGGAGTTATTGCCGGGTTTCTTACTTCATCCTGGGATAAACCATTTTGCCGTTTATTTGATTTCTTTGTTTAATGCAGGCACGGATATTGGCCCTGAATGCATCCTACTTCTTGAAAGCTGGAGGCCACTTTGTTATATCAATCAAGGTTTGAACTATTTGATTTCTTCTCACCATAACAAGTAAAGATCTTTTGAATCCTGAAATGAACAAGTAGTTTTGAACTAGCTGATTCATTTTGCAAATGAAGTGGTATTTATCATTATATCATGGCCATTGAATATGTAGACTGCCAAATATCTTCAAAAATCATGTAACCCAGTGAGTACTCAATTTGCAGAGGGGGAAAACATTATTATGCCAAGGATTTAAATTTTTATAGTGAAAAGTGTCAACCATGTTTTTGTTTATGCTCTCTTTTATATTTATAGGCGAACTGCATTGACTCCACTGTACCAGCTGAGGCTGTATTTGCCCAGGAAGTTAAAAAGTTGCAGCAAGATCAGTTCAAACCTGTTGAACAGGTTACATTGGAACCTTTTGAACGAGACCATGCTTGTGTCGTTGGTGGCTATCGTGTGCCTAAGAAACAAAAGGCCGCAACCTAAACCTCCTTTTTCTTAGCATAGTTGATGTAATGTGCTTTTCTTCTCTTTTGGACCTCGTTATTTAGATCTTTCTAGTTTGCAATATTTTCCTTTCAAAAAATTTCGTTTTGTGAATTTAGTAGTCAATCCATTAGAAGTAGTGCAAAGTGCCGACAAATAGAAATTTTGGAGACCTGATGTCATATGAAGAGTTGTTCGTCATTTTTCATATATTCGGAATATTTTGTCACGTTTTTATATGATGTTTAATATTCCCGCCTATTTTTATTAAATATCATTTTGAGAAGTTGTACAATAATTAAGAATATTTTTTTTATCAATAATAATCATCATGATGAGGATAGAGATTGATGTTTTGAGAAAAGATGGAGAGTGAATATGAAAAGACGTAGTGTATTTATTAGTTAGATGAGAGTAATAATGAAAAAATATGTACAAAATAGCTAAAATGATATTTATTTAACAAATGATTAATTAAATTAAGATGACAAATAATAAAATAGGAAGGAATACTTGATATTATTTTGAGTGGATTCATGTTTTTATCTTTTAGGGAAAAGTGCACCTGATGGTATCATAGTTTTGACAGTATCCTCCGCAAATTTATCATAGAAAGATGGACAAACTCAAAGAATATAAAACAATCTCAAACACATCACCACCTCCTGATAACATGTTTGCCTAAATGAAGGTTAAAATCCTTTCCGGCTCTGTTTGTTTTGAGAGATTTGAAATCATTTGATTTCAAAATTTGTGAAATATAAATTTTTTTACTTGCACACTCGTTGAATGAATGTGTTAAAAATATTATAAATTAATTGTCTAGTTCGCTCTGATGGTGTTGACTCGTGGTGGTGATGAACCTAAATGATGGCGGACGGCGTGGTCGTCAACAGTGATAAACATTGGATTTCAAATTACTAGGTTTGAAGAGTCATTTAAAATCTTTGAAAATAATGACTAAAAAAACATCTAACATGAATTCAAAATCTTCCAACTTTCTTTACCATCCAAACATGCATGAAAAGTCGGTAATTAAGAAGTCGGTCTTTACTGAGGCATTTCAAATCCTTCAGTAAATCCTTCAATCCAAATTTTGTCTCAGAGAAGTCGGTAATTGCTACCAGACAAATTCATTTACTCCAAATTAAAAATGATGAATCGGCAATTATATTTTGTTTCGGAGAAGTCGGTAATTGCTACCAGACAAATTCATTTACTCGAAATTAAAAATGATGAATCCGCAATTATCTTACAAAATCATTAGTCAAAAAAATGCATATGATTTCTCAGTTTTTTAGACTTGGGGCTGATTGGATAATAAGGACCCAATCACAATACATTGTTTTATCAATTTTACAATATTGTTTCGGTTTGCATTTTTTAAGGATTTTAAGCTTTTGTTAGAGAATATTTGCTGCTTCCAATGATTATATATTGATACAATGCAGGATTTAGATCGTTTATATGTGTAGGAACTACGATCTAAAGTGCAATTCATGTGTACTATAGTTGTGGCATAAACTAATAATCATGCTATTGAACATCGGATTTACATACAATACTTCATTTCCTCTGGTCCATACATCCAAATTATTATATACATAAATAAAATAGTTTTGATATATATCATGTACTGCTTTGTTTGTTTCACTTATGCTACCTACCCATAATACATTAGAACAGTAAGAAATAAGTTTAAAGGGAACTATATTTTCTTCCTATTGTTGCTATTCACTTGTTAAGAGCATATTCCCACTCATTATTATTTAATTCATGTTTACTTAATGTATAATCATCTCAATTTCTTAATCACCAAATTATTCTCTTAATAAATCAATAGTTTAGTTTCTATATTCACAGTTGTATGCTCACTGCTCAACTTGCCAAACTTACACAGACGATTGGATTGGTTGACATTTATGGAATTTTTTATTTATTTAAAAATAAAAAAAAAGGTGGACCCAAAAGTGGAAAAAAAATTAAAAGGCCGTATTCCATAAATCTGTTTTTCAACGTTAAACGTATTCAAAGAATACGTTTTTACATTTAAAACGTATTTAATGAATTCGTTTTTGTAAAAAAAAAATTAATTAACATAATAAACATAATTAAGTTAATTAAAATATGGTAAAACGTATTATTTAAATACGTTTTAAGTTAAAAAAAACGTATTAATACGTTTTACAATTAGAAATAATTATATATTTATTATTTAATTATAAAACGTATTCTAATAATACGTTTTATAAATAAAATTATTATTTACAATTTTGAAAACCAATTTTTCCAGAAAATAATAATTAAAAATATATAACGTATTTTAGAAAAACGTTTTTTAACCCTAATTTTAGCCCCAAATTTGATTTTGCCCTAATTTTAGCCCCAAAGTGATTGTGCCCTAATTTGCACAGTAAAACGTATTCTTGAAATACGTTTTTCAATAAAAAAAAAAACAAAAACGTATTATGAAAATACGTTTTACTGTGCACAAACAGCAAAAATTACAGAAAAATTACAAAAACACGCCTGTTAATCGAGATCGATTCAACAACCAAATATTAATTACACAAGCTCATATCAATCCATTCGTCAAAGAAAGAAAAATGAAGCACAACAATTCATTGTCCAAATATAAAAATCCAAATATGTCCAAATATCATTACACATAATCCACCAAGAAAGAAAAAAATTAATATATATGTCCACAAAATTCCCGGAATACAATACAACTAACTAGGAGTGTATCGATTCGTAGGGTTGCGCGGTCGGGAGCTAACCCGACGCCGTGGTGGTCGTGAAGAAGATGATGCTGTGGGCGTGGTAGGTTCCTCTTCTTCTTCTTCTTCTTCTTCAGCTGAGTAATTCATTGTTTTAAGAAATCAGGAATTCGACTTAACAAAAATCACAAAAAATAAATAAAATTATATTTTTGTGGTAAGTTAAAAATTTTCACCTTCTTCTTCTTCTTCTTCCTGAGGCACGAGGTCGGCAGTGGGTTGGCGGTCCCGTCGTCTTCTACCTCCACCAATGTTGGGAGCAGGTCGATGCCTCGCCCGGTGTGACTGCGTCCTTTGGGATCGGACGTAGCTCTCCTGCGAGAGAACTTCGCTCGACGACGTCCCTTGTGCGACGTCTCCGCCTCTGACAGCCAGAGAACTGTATAGAAGGTTCTTGGCATGTTAGAATGCCGCCAACACATCTGGATGGAGTGTATGATGTAGGTGGTCCACGTTAGATAACGTGTGAAAAGCACCCTCCATGGCGGTAGCCTGAAAATTAAATTCAAAGTCAATTATAATGAAACAAAAAATAATAATAATAATAATAAAAAAATACAAATATATATTACTTACATCGTACTTCCCCTGCTCGGCAAATGGGTGAAAGCCTCTGTCCGGTTGAGCCACCGCGTACTTGGCAGGGTCACCGAGTAGTCTAACAGTGGTACTGTGAAACCAATCAAGGTAATCCGGCTCAGGCTCAATGAATGGCTCCATTGCGAGGGCTGGGACAACGTTTCGTCTCTATGTTCGACCCAAGCATTCCCAAGCTCTCCGTGAAAGGCGACCCAATAAAAAACTGGCCTCCCAGTCATCCCCTGGCCTCGATGGTGTAACTGATATTCGGTCTCAGTCGTAATGATAGGAGGCTCGGGGGTGGACTGCCGGCACCCGAACTGACGGAGGACCCTATCAGGCAGGTGGAGTTCACGAACGTTCCAGTTGAAGATCCACCCCCTATACATCCAGAGGTGTGAACCTTCTGTACACTGGGCCGGGAGAACATTCGCTTGCAGGTGCCACTGATAGGGTAGCCATTCGAACTGAAAAAAAAATATAAAAAAAAAAAAAATTAGGAATTAAGTTATAAAAAAAATTAAAACAAAGAACAAATAAAAATAATAATAATAATCTTACATCCATCTCTGTGAGCCCTGTCAATTGATCCCGGGTGGTGGCTGTTCCCTTGCCCAGGTGTGTCGTGCTCCTCCTTCCCACCCACCTTAAAAATCACAGTAAAAAAAAAACAATTTGTAATCACAAAATTTGATAGTGGAAATAATCTAAGGAAAATTGACAAATAAATTTTATTACCTTGCACCTAAGGGACAAGCAGGGACTCTCTCAAAGTTCGTATCCCTCATTCTTGGGCGAATACGAGGGATACGTTCATATGCCCAAACCTACACATATCGACATATTCATTTGTTATTAGATATTAGTCTAAATTAGAATAAAAAAATAAATTTTGAAATAAGAAGCAAATAAATTTCCCCACTCATCACGAAGTCTAGACCTGTCGGTGCGAGGATGTGAAGACGGACACTCATCCACAACATGATTTGGATCACCGCATCTAGTGCACTGTCCCCTATCCCTCCTGCGGCGTGACCGGCGATCCATTTGCATGCGATATCGTCTCGTTTGCACGCGACCGGGTCCAGGCTTCAAGATCATCCTCTCCCAGTGTGGTATCAATTTTCACTCGACCAACGCTCATGTATCCAGATTACCAATCGGAGCAAAACTCCAATTACGAAATTGAGCTACCCAGTTCTCCGTCCAAAAATACTCACTGAACAACAGTTTTGGGTCAGTCTCAACTGAACGACAGACGGCTAATGCATGAGAGCATGGTTTCCGATGCGTCTGCCACTTCCGACAACTACAATGTTTTCGGTTGTAATCTACCTTATACCTGTAATAATTCCCCAGTGATTTATATATATATATATAATATGAAAAAATTTAATGGACAAACAAAAAATTAAAAAAATATATACTTACATGTTTTGCCCTCTTCCACTCGCCCGTAAACCGGTTTCCACTTCGTACATGGAGCTGTCGGCGTCCCTAACATGGACATTATGAGTGGCGCCTGTCTGCTCCAATTGCAAATATGCGTTATAGTGCTCCGTAGCAATGGGAGTCCTGCATCTCGTGGACTTGTTTTGTTCCTGTTGAAACAAATTCAGAGTTTTATGCAATGTGGCATCTACCAAAGCTGTGCACGGCAGGAACCTAACCTCTTTCAGCACGTTGTTGTAACTCTCCGACATATTCATTGTCAATGTGCCCCATCTGCGTCCTTCTTTATCTTTTAACTGGGTCCACTTCTCCAAAGGAATTCAAAAAAGGTAATTGTGTGCCTCGGGATACAATGCCAACAGTCGCTGTTCTGTCTCTCGAAACTTTCGCTCCGACAACTGCGAACCCAATTCCCAACACCAAGTCCGAATTTTCTTACTCCTGAAATTAGTCACCATGTTGCTAAGGTGTCGAAGGCAAATCCGGTGATACGCAGCGGGTTCTTGCCAATCTGTTAATGATTCAATGGCACTGAGTAGGCCCGCATCCCTGTCAGAAAGAACACAGATACGTCTCTGGAAGACTACATGTTGCCGCAGATTCCTAAGGAAAAATGACCAACTGTCCGTACTTTCTTCATCGACAAGCGCATACGCGACCGGCAATAACCGCTTATTCGCAGTCTGTGCTACGGCCACAAGCAATTTTCCCTTGTAGGATCCACGCAAATGTGTGCCATCGACGCTAATAACCGGCGGGCACCTTCGTAAAGTTTGAATGGCGGGACCAAACGCCTAAAATACAAATTTGAATTGTCTGTCTCGAAGGTGTCGCGCCATTTCCCCACCCTACCATTCCCACTCTACAACTGTGGAGGGATTCGTTCTTTGAAGCGCGGCAAAATATCTACATATTACAAAACAGTTTCATAATAAATAGATAAACATAGCGACATACATTAAATAAATATACTATATTTGTAATTAATTTTTGCTTACTGAGGGAGTTCTGCGAAGTTCGATTCCCAAGTGCCATACACTCTCTCGATGTCTTTTCTCCTTCCGTGCCATGCCTTCTTGTAGCTGACATCCACTTTCCAACACTGTTTCACATCAGCTTGGATCATGTCGACACCGTACTCCAATTTCTTTCGAATCTTATTACGAATAAGATTTGAAATCATTTGGGCGGTTACATTTCTGTGGTCATTTCTCTCGACCGGTTGCATACAAGTGTGACTATCAGTCCATTCCGTTAGTTCCCACAATTCATGAACCCGTTTGGACTTAGTCACCCGAGCCTTCCACAGACAAGGCGGATCTTCACTAGATCTGTAGACCACTTCGTATGACTTTTGATTCGAATCATTTATCCGAATCTCCCGCAACCTATCGACGTTCCAAGCCATCAGAGCCATTTGGGCTTCTTTCTTGCTCCGAAAAACTATACTCAAATGTATGGTCTCAATGTCGCTATTCCAGAGTGGAATAGCATACTCGTCCTTATCTATCCTGGACGGGTCCCATTCACCCATCTCGTGGTATACGTGCCGACCACCACTAGGAAAGGGGTGTTTTTCTTCAATGAACTCGACTTCACTCTCCTCATTTACCGATCTATCTGATTCGGTTTCTGAGGTCTCGTCTGTGAAATCATCTTCACCGAGTCCGAACTCTACGTCACTTTCTTCGTCGCCCTCATTTTCCCTTTCTCTAATTGGTGAGCTTGTCCCTTCTCCAAAATTACGTAGATGAGAAGTCGACGTGCCCTCATCCATTCCCCCATAATAAAGAGTAAAATCCTCAAACTGTGAAACCGGTGTAATTGCCTCCAACGATAAATACAAATACACAACGGACATAGGAAAAGATAAATAAATCCATTGCATAGCACTATCGTTATCGAGTCTTTCGGCATTCCACGAACCATCGCGTTGACGAAACATTAAAGTAATCTGTTCAATTGTCCAACCTTCTCCAAACCGACAATTTTCATTAATCATCTGTACCAATTCTCCATATGATATCCTCCCCGTAATAACAAATGAACCATCCGGACGATCTATAAATGAAACAAATTGTTCTTTCGCACATCGCCAATACAAATTAACAAAATATGGACCGCAATACTCCATTTAATCCTGCTGAAAAAAAAAAAATCAATTCTTCCCAATTACAATAACACAAAATGTCTAATCCAACACCCAAAAAATCCAATTATTCTTTGAACCCATTTTTTTACTTCCAATCGATTAATCCTCCAAAACCCTAATACAAATAATCCAACAATAAATTAAAACCCCTAATTTCAAAAAACCCTAAGCCCAACAACAAATCAATTTGCAATTGACAATTTCCAACAAAATTCCAATCTCCAATTCAACATACACCCATAATCGATAAACAATTAACAATTCTCAATCTTCAAACACCACCACATTCAAACATACTATAACAATCTCTAATCTCCAAACAAATCCAAACAATGTAAAAGGTTAAGATAAGCCAATATACCTCGTGTGAATGAATTAACCAAAAATGAGGTTCGTGTTGTTGTTATCGATTTACTTTGGGGTGGCAATTGGATCGAGTTTTTTTTTTTCCGATAAACCTCGCTCTCTCTCGCTGTGAATGGTCGCGCAGAAATGGAGAAGAAGAGAATGGAACATATTTTTATTCCATTGTAAAACGTATTACAAGAATACGTTTTACTCTTATTTAATTGTAAAACGTATTCTTGTAATACGTTTTAATTTATTTAAAAAACGTATTATTTTTTCTTTTTTAAAAACGTATTTCCATCATCCGTTTATTAAAACCCTAAAAATCAATTTTATTTGTCTACCCACCCGGGCATCCCTCGATGCATAGGCAATGAGTGAAGGATAAGTAAAAGGTTTAAGAAGCAGACCATGACCCAAAGTACCTTTGAGATAGCGAAGAATATGTTCTCCCGCAACTATGGATACTGGGGGTTAACTTTCCGAGCTCAAGTTCATAGCGTAGATCCATTTGTTTAGAAAGCATAGAGTTCACACTCTTTTTTTTTTATTAAAAACGTATATTTCAAATACGTTTTACAATTATCAATTTTTCTTCAATTCGACTCTTTTTAAAAGAAAATAAATATTTTTAACATTTTACAAAATTAATATAAAAACGTATTCTAGGAATACGTTTTTCTAATAAACTTTAATTAGAAAAACGTATTCATAGAATACGTCCTTTTGTTTTTTTCCACACCTTTTTTTTTTGTCCACTTCATTTTTATTTTTTTTAAATAAATAAACTACTCGACATTTATGGAAAACAAACCTTTGAGACTTTTGAAAAAAGATAATAAAGATTCCAAACTACGTTTAAGAGCATCTCCAATGGAAATTGTGTTGTATGACATAGAGAAAGAAAATTAAAAAATTGTGTCTCCAATGGTTAGTGTTAATTGTGGTATTATTTGTGATGTGGAAAATTATAATTGGTTGAAGAAAAAAGATAAATTGAATAAATAATATAATATATAATAGAAGTTGTCTAGAAGGACTTCTATAGGAAGCCTTCTAGACATTTTCTATCACGCATAAGATTTTTTGTGCCATGTGTCAACAAAATAAAACAATGAAAGTACTATTGAAGATGCTCTAAAAGTTCTACGAATTGCACCTGAAGTATCTTGCGGAAAAACCTTTCAACAAAGATGCACAAAATTATTATGACTGATGAAGAGGTAAGTAGCGCCATCAACTTCTATCACTACAAAAAAATTGCTATATTCCAACGGAAAATCTTACAATAGCATATTCCAATGGAAATTTCATCAGATATTCTAATGGTATGGCTTCCGTTGGAATGATTCCAACAAAAATTCCAACGCTAATATTCCGTCAGAATGTGTTTCCCATTGGAATTGGAATTTTAGATGGAATTTGATGATTTCAACGATAATTTTTTCAATGGTTTTTTACCGTTGGAATATGCAATTTTCGTTGGAATTTTTACTTTTACCCCCTTGGAAAATCTACCGTTGGAATTGTCAAAATTCAATAGAAATTCCAATGGAAAACTCATTCCAACGTAATATTTTTGTTGGAATTTTTATTGGAATCTATTGAAAAATTCCAACAGAAAGATTAGCATTGGAATATCCATTAGAATTGTCGTTGGAATTCTATGGGAATATACTTCGGTCGGAATTTTCTATTGGAATTTCATCATTTTCTTGTAGTATATGCCACTCAACCAATTATTTTATTTTTCAAATATAAAAATTAATTTATAAATATTTTTATATTTTGCAGGGAATAAAGATTGATGTCATTATAATCAATGATGGGATTTATTCTTTACTGAAAGTTTTGGAATTAATAATATTCATATTATTTCTAATTGTGAAGTAAATAAACCAAATCAAACTTTTGTAAGTCCAAACCTAGATGTAGAATTGGTGTTAAATAGACATACTTATGTGATTCATGCCGTAGAGTCTATTGAAAATGTATTGAAATACAACTTTATGGATTTTGAAGAACTTAACCTTCATCTTCACAAAAATGGAACAGGTTTAGTCCCATCAAACTGTATCTAATGTCTATTTGTTAATTTTTTATTTTCTTTTCATTTTCTAATAAATTAACCCCTCCTATAGATGTTTGTGGAATTGTTTTGCAAGTCAAAGATACCAAAATGATAGTTACTGGAAAGGGCACAATGAAGAGTATTAGGTAAATCACCCTCATCAATGAACAGTAAGAAAATATTTATCTTAAACAAATTTTTTAATATTTACAATTTTAAATACACTCTTATTTAAATTTATAAAATCTTGTCTCATGCAATATGCGCCCCTTGATTATTACTCTGTGGGAATATTTAGCATCCAATGAAGGAAAACAACTGGAAGAAAATATGCGGAATAGTCTTATAGTTGCAATTTCTCAAGTCACTTCTAAAATATACATTGGTAATACTTAAATCATTTTGTTTTTATTATTAAACATAATCTACTTATATATAATGTAATTAAAAAAAATTATCATAGTTTTCATGCTTATTAATATTTATTAATTTTTGCTAAAATTCAAGGTCAAACTACTGGAGCATCCATAGTACAAATAGATCCACAATGTCATCAAATCGACCTTGTGAAAAATTAGTGAGATTATTATTTTTATTAACAAAGTACCATTTACTTTTTATATGGTGAAATATTCTATTTCTCACTTTCTAATATACATTTATTTTTAAATTACAAAAATAGCTTGGATAAAACTCAAAATCCGATTAAACTCCGACAATTAGCGATGATTCAAAGAATGAAGTTGGCAAATCAAGTGACCCTCACCACCATCATATACAACAACGATACATTATCCAAGGTAAAATTATTGTCCTTTTTTTCTTTTAAGTTTTATTATAATATTTTCTAAATTTTACTTTTTTATATTTTTGAAGGATATGTATTATTATTTCGAAGGTGTTGTTGATAGAATTGAAAATAAATTATCTTTGTGGTACGATGCATGTATAAAAGGTTCCACTTCTGTTTTCAAAACCAAAGATACAACAAATTGCAACAAATGCAAAGAGGAAAATGTTGAAACTAATCCTAGGTACGCATGAAATAAATTTTACTTTACTAAATAATACTTAATATATTATATATTTATCATTGTTTTATTAGTTGTAAATACAGAGTTGTTTTGAATATCGTCCATGGATCATTCAATGCAACCATAACTATGTTTGAGGAAGACGCTACTGCATTCATTGGTTGCACAGTTCTTGAATACATAAAATCTGTTGAGGAGGTAAACAAAATTCAATACAACATGTTTAATATATTTATTTTATTTTATTTAAAACTAACATTCTTATTAAAATTAATCATCCAGGGAGAAAACAACTCCAAACTTTTTAAAGAACTCAGCTTGCAAACTTCAGCTACATTTAGATTTTTCATACCATTAAATGTCAAAACCAAGGTGGACGACAAATAGTTAATTGCCGTTGTTGAAGCACTCGAGAAGGTTACCCGACGTTTGGAAAAGGGCAAAAAGAGAACAAACAATGATAGATGTCGGTGGAAAATTTTTAAAATAAGTCGCATCGAAAAAAACCAAACACCAAAATCACCCGCACCTCTGCTGACATTGACATTTCAAGCGATAAAGGAACTCTACAAACAATGAAGAAGAAATGTGTCAAGAAAATGTCGGCTTCAAAAACCAAGAAAATGGTTGAAATAATAATAAGTCGTGGATTGACCTCCATGGGGCTAGTGACTTTTTATACTGACATACCTTTCTACTCACCTTGGGGCCAAAATCCCAAAGGTGGTATCATTGGCTAGCCCCCGGGTCTATCGTTGGATGGGACATGCTGAGGTCGACATTCCAGATGCACTTTTCCATCTCTCAGATATGTATGTTTTCTCGAGAGTCAAGAACCAATATCATTCAAGGGACTGATGATAACTTAAAAAATTATGTGGCCTGGTTCAATACTCAGGTCCAAAATATGGGGCCCTACCATCCAGTGACTCTAATAGTAGTGGCCAACGCCAAGCTCTGCCTGAACTCTATGTTTCGTTGGTCCCTCTGCCAGAACAAGACGACAACATACCAAGAATTCCTCGTGCGAGCCCAACAATCATTGTCGAGGAATCCATAACCCTACCAAGCTTCAATCGCTCTTGAGATCCACTTACAAAGGCCAAATAAGTCAGGCCACTCCAGAGGTCCAAAGATCGGGAAAACTGAGCCGCACGCCAAAATATTCTGAGAAAAATAGGCCAAGGCGGTGGCTGAATATAAAGTCGTATACGGGGTCTCTGTCATTACTAAGAAGTATTTCTGCCAAGAAGAAAGACGCCTACCTTGAAGACTTCTCCTATATGACGACCTCATTTTTAGCTATGAGGTAACCACGCCGACATCCGCCAGAAGCAAGGCCTCCCTTTTTTTTCGATCTCAATCCTGGCGATCTCACCCCTAATATGAAAGAAGTTGCTACCTAGAACTGGTTTCCACCACAAAAAATGATAAGCCAGTTGCCCAATTGGGGGAAGTTGATTGCAAGTTGCCGAGACACGTGTCACCATGCATGACGTTAACCTCTCAGATTTTGTCACGCGTCCCAAATAAATTTTATTTTAAAGACCCTCCCTTCTAAAATAAAGGGGTTCGAAGGCTTCAAGATTGTTAGCCCCTGCTCGTCTCTATTTGCAGCTAGGATGCACTGTTCGAGTAAGCAAAAATGCTTCCCGGCAAAAACTGACACTTTTAGGATAGAAGAAGAAGATGTTGAACAACTCAATGTATTGAGTATTCAGTTTTTGTTGTGTGTTTACAAATAAAAACGGCACCCCTATTTATAAGAACTAAAAGCAACTATCCTAGTGACTTTCCTAGAAAATACATAAATTGAAAAATCAAACTAAAGTGGCTGCCATGAAAGTGCTATGCAGCTGCAATGAAAATGCAATGAAAGTGTAATGAAAATGCAAGGAAGTTGCACTTCACTAACAAGGAAACTGCAGGATTATCTCTTACAATTCTACCCCTAATCCTGCTGCTCTTGCTTGTTTCCCTCCATTCCAATCTTGGTCCTCAGCTCCATGAACCGAAGACGGCCGAGTGGCTTAGTAAGGATATCTGCGAGCTGCCGTCCGGATTCGACAAACTCCAAAACAATCTGTCCTTCATCGACACAATCCCGGATAAAGTGAAAACGGGTATCGATGTGCTTGCTCCGGTCATGGAGGACTGGATTTTTTGCAAGGGCAATGGCGGGCTGGTTGTCCACCATCAGAGCTGGTGGACGAGCTTCCTCGCCGGTCAGGTCACCCAGCAACCGACGCAGCCAGACCGCCTGGCACGCCGTTGTGGCTGCTGCCACGTACTCTGCTTCGCATGTAGAGAGCGCCACGATCTTCTGTTTCAGCGACTGCCATGAGATTGGGGCCGATCCAAGGAAGACGAGCACACCGGAGGTCCTCTTCCGCCCATCAATGTCGCCTGCCATGTCTGCATCGCTGAAAACCGTGACCCGCAGCCCACTTCCGCCGCCGGTCTTGGGAAAGATGATGCCCTGGTCCACCGTCCCCTTGACATAGTGCAACAGCCGCTTTACCGCAGCCCAATGATCCTCTCGGGGGTCCTCCACGAAGCGGCTGACATAGCCCACGACAAATGCGATATTTGGCCTCGTGTGGACTAGGTAGCGCAGCCCGCCGACGATACTCCGGTAGAGTGTTGCGTCCACCTTCCCTGTGGGGCTTGCTTGACGAAGACAGTCTCCGCTAGCTCGCCGTTGACGAAGGCCGATTTCACGTCCAGGTAATGAATGCGCCAGTCCTTCGCTGCCGCCTGCTAGCAGTAGGCGAACTGACTCCATGCGCGCCACTGGTGCAAAAACTTCCTCAAAGTCAATGCCCTCTCGCTGGACGAAACCGCGAGCAACGAGGCGCGCCTTGTGTTTGACTATGGCGCCACACTCGTTCCGCTTGACCTTGTAGACGCATTTGAGCCCAATTGGATGACAGCCTGGAGGTGGATCGACGAGCTCCCACGTCTCATTTTCCTCGATCGCCTTCATCTCCTCTAGCATAGCTCGTCTCCAATTGACATCGCCCTCGGCCTGCGCGAAAGTCGATGGCTCCTCTGCACTGACGAGGAGCAGCTCCTGATCGTCGAGTAATCGGCTCGCCAAGCCTGGTACAGCCGAGTTGCCAACGAGGTTGTCCATCCTGCGAAACCTCACCCCCTCGCCGTCGTGGAAGGCATCCACATACTCGTCGATGTCGCTTGGAGGAGAGGTGAACTCAACTGTCGTCGCTGGAGGTGTCCCTTGTCCTGTCGCTGGAGGTGTCCCTTGTCCTGCCGCAGTAGGGGACTGTGGGGGCGTGTGCGCAGCCGCTGGTGGAGACTCTTTGCCCGTGCCCGCCATGGCTGGACTTTGGGGCTCATCCGACGCCGCCACAGCTGCTGGACTTGGCGCATCCGCAGCTGGCTCCTCTACTCCCGCATCTCCTCCTCCGTGGATCACCAAATGCTCGATGACGAACGTACCGCCGACGCCACGGGCTTTCCCCGTGCCAGGATTCTCCCAATCCCAGGCCGCCATTTCGTCGAACACCACATCCCGCGAAACCACAACCTTGCCTCCACGTGGATCGTAGAGCCGATAGGCCTTGCTTCCCTCCTCGTAGCCTAGGAACACCATCGGTGTGCTCCTATCCTCAAGCTTGGACATGAAGGGCTTCGTCTTCTTCACATGGCCAATGCACCCAAACGTCCTTAGAAACGAGACGTCGGGCTGCCTACCATGCCAAGCTTTGAATGGCGTCTTGCCCTTCAGGGCCTTTGTGGGCGCACGGTTGAGGATGAACACCGTCGTGCTCACAGCCTCACCCCAGAACTCTGCTGACATGCCCTTTGCCTTCATCATGCTTCGGGCCATGCCCACCACAGTCTGATTCTGCCGCTCCACTACGCCATTTTGTTGCGGTGAGTACGGTGCAGTGTGATGGCCCACCACCCCCTGGTTTGCACAGTACGCGGCGAATTCCATCTATGTGAAGTCGCCACCGCGAGCCGTCCTCAGCACGCGCAGCAGCTTTCCGGACTCTGCCTCAGCCTGCGGCTGTAACCGTTTGATTGCCTCCGCCGCTTGATCCTTACTCGTCAGGAGCTGCAGCCACATGAAACGACTACAGTCGTCCACGAGCAGCAGGAAGTAGCGCCTTCCGCCATGCGTAGCCAGCTTGATCGGCCCGCAGAGGTCGCCGTGGACGAGCTCGAGGACGTCCGCCGCACGATACTTGGCTGCCTTTGGGAAGGGCGGCCGCCTCTGCTTCCCTGCCAGGCAGCTGTCGCACAGCTCGCCTGCTTGCTCGATGTGCGGGAGCCCGCGCACCACCTTCCTCAACCGGCCGAGTGCGTTGAAGTTCAAATGGCCGAACCGAGCATGCCATAGCCATGGCTCCTCGGCGTGTCGTACTGCCAAACACACTGGTTGCTCCACCTTCAAGTCGAGGAGGTAGAGGCGGTTCTGGGAACTCTGGACCATGGCCAGCAGCCGCTGTTCTCGGTCGCGGAGCTTTAGCACTCCGTCTTTGACAAGCACCTCGTAGTCGTGCTCGTCCAGTTGCCCAATGCTGACGATGCTTGAACGCAACTGCGGGATATAGTACACATCCGTCAATGCATGGTGCTCGCCGTTCTGGCACCGGAAGATGACGGTGCCGCGACCTCGAATCTCCACCTTCAAGTCGTCGCCGAACTTCACCGTCCCCGTCACGCCGTCATCAAGCTCGGAGAAGGCCTCCTTGGTGCCGGCCATGTGGTTGCTGGCGCCGGAGTCTAGGTACCACCTCTGCTCTATGCCACCGCCCATTCGTCCAAGGTGGACTTGGGCACTGGACTCGTTGAGGTGAACGGCCTGCAGTGACTTCCCCTGCTCTGTAGCCGTCGCCTTGACTTCCTCCAACTCTGGCTCGACGTTGTGCAACTTAAGGTTGTTGCCATGAGAAGAGTTGGCTCCTCGTCGTCCACCTGCGCGAGGTGCGCCTCCCTCTTCTCCTTCTTGGGATTCTTGCAATCCCGGGCCCAGTGCCCTGTCTTCCCACAACGTCGGCAAGTGTCTTTGTCGATCGGACGCGCGTTGTCGTCGTCCTTCTTCTTCTTCTTCTGCGGGGCCTTGCCACGATGCTTGCCGTAGCCACCACGGCTGGAGGAGCCTTCCCCTGGCCGCCGCTCGCGCGTACGAGCCGCCCATTCTTCCTCGGTCAGCAGTAACTTGCCGCTGGTAGTTATCGTCGCCATCTCCCCACGATCATCCACCGCCCGCAAGCGCCCAGTCACATCCTCAATCGTGAGAGTGGACATGTCGATTAACGTCTCGATGGAGAGCGCGATCTGAAAGTACTTAGGCGGCACGACACGCAATTATTTCGCGACCGCCTCCTCGTCGGTGATGGTGACGCCGTGCGCCGCCAACTGACTGACGAGCGACTGTAGACGGAGCGAGAAATCCTCCACTGCCTCGCCGTCGCGGAACGCCAGCGCCTCATACTCCCGCCGCAGCTGCTGCGCCTTCGCTTTCTTTGCGCGATCAGACCCAATGCACATGGCCTTGAGGGCGTCCCAAGCAGCCTTTGCGGAGTCCTTTGTGTCCAGCGACTCCATGTACTCGTGAGGAACAGCGGACAGAATCGCTTCCATCGCTGCGCAGTCCTCTTCTTCATCCTCGGTGCTTTCTTCGATGGCCCGCCAAAGCTTGCGCGCACGCAACTTGACCTTCATCAGCACCGCCCACTCGCCATAGTTTGTGCGTGTGAGGACCGGCCAGTTGGCCCCGCCAACGTCCCGTACGGTCCTGTGGATGATGACCTCCTGGCGCGGTGAAGCGTGTGCACCGCTCCCTTGCACCGTCGACGCAGCATCTTGGCTTGCCATGGCTCTGCTGCTCGTCTCTATTTGCAGCTAAGATGCATTGTTCGGGTAAGCAAAAATACTTCCCGACACAAACTGACACTTTTAGGATAGAAGAAGAAAATATTGAACAACTCAATGTATTGAGTATTCAGTTTTTGTTGTGTGTTTACAAATAAAAACGGCACCCCTATTTATAAGAACTAAAAGTAACTATCCTAGTGACTTTCCTAGAAAATACATAAGTTGAAAAATCAAACTAAAGTGGTTGCCCTGAAAGTGCTATGTAGCTGCAATGAAAATGCAAGGAAGTTGCACTTCACTAACAAGGAAACTGCAAGATTATCTCTTACAAATATCATCAATTCTCATTACTACATTCAATTCTCAATACAGAAGCAGTTCCCACTATAACATCCTATACTAGACTAAAAATACCAGTTTCTTCATCATTAAGCTTTCTTGTTCTTTTCGATTTCCTCTGCCTTTGAAAGGCCCTTGTACGAAAGAGACCCGTGAGTGACCCATCTTATGAATAAAATCGCTGGTGCAGACTCTCTACTTTTTCATCGTTAATATGGTCTTTATTATCCTTGCTTCTTTCGTTAATTTTATTAAGGATTATTATTTTTTTGCATATATTTCCCTTTTTTTTCTCTCTAAGTTTCTTTCAAATTTTTTCCTTTCTTAAATAGAGTTTGTCCTAAATACAAATTTACAAACACGTTTTTTATTATATAATCACTAGTACAATTCCCGTCTACTACACAAGTGTTGAGTTAAGAAATATATGATAAAATTTTTTGCTAAAATAAAAAATTTTATTTAAAAATTTTGATGGACTAATTGATAAAAAAGAAAAGAATAGACAGTGCAGAAAGTGATTTGTAAATCATAATTTAGGAGAGAAATATGAGAGAAAATTATATGTTGGTAAGATTGCTACTTACCCAAAATGTGTACTAAGAGAAGAAAATGACAAAATTAAATGTACACTTACTTAGTTTGAAAATATTATTTATGTCTAATACTAAGCCTAATTCCAGAGCAAAAATGAATATACAAACAACATTACGAAGCATAAATTTTCTCTATGTCAACATCCGAAGCGTGCGGATATGACAATTAGGCTCAGCACGTTTTGAATTAATATATAGTGAGGGGTTTAATGAGAATAAATGTTTATTCTCTAGTACGTCTTACCATTTTTATTGTAACGTTGTGCTTTGAAAAGTATGCTTCAGTTAAATAATGCTTATCAGTTGTTTCAATAATTCTTAAAATCTGGGATTTAATTTTAGATGATCCTAATTGAGCATAAAATATTTATGAAGATCCTTTTATATACTATTGTTGATCTAGTTTAGATATTCCGGCAGCAATGATGATTTGGAAGAATTGATAAAGATTCTAAAATTTAAAGAATGGTAAAAAAAAAATGGCTACGACCAGGGGAACTATCGATTCTAGTGTGATGCGTTAGTGGATTTCTTTGAAAAGTACATTTTTGTTTCAATGAAAGGTAATTATTTTATTGCAACGTGATTTTGTTGCTTAGAAACATAAAAGTAGTTTTTTGTTGCTTAGAAACATAGGGAGATTCTACAGTCCCGTTACGGAATCATTCCATCGGAATTGGTAACCGTTAGATCAACTATCCACGACGATTACATGATGATCTAACGGTTACAAATCCCGATGAAATGGTTCTATAACGAGATTGTAGTATTTCCCAAAAAACATATACATAATATTTGGGTGCGTCATATATTTCTTTCAAACGTAGACCTCCATTGAGTGCATGGTGCAAAAGGTCACAAACGACTTGCATCTGAAACTGAAAGCTAAGAGCATAACTTACATGCATCAATAAGTTTATCTGACACCAAACAACGTTGAATCTGCAGCAATCACAATTGCATTCGAGGCCCAACAAAGCACTCAAATGCATTCTACTTCAATTCTAACATAAAACTCGTAAGTACCAAACTTGGCGTGTTTCCTCAGACTTTTATGATACACTTTGTCATCCTAAACAACCATAATATATAATTGGAGAACTGACACCATACAACAAAAACTTGGTTAACATTTGCCTTATCCTACTATCTACTAGCCGAAGCATTCATCCTTTTCCATGCAAGATGTATCAATCTGCTTCTGTTTTTTCGAGTTTTTATTATGATTCTCTTCATCCATTGCCTTCAGTTTGTTCTTTATTGCAGCTATTTTTGCACTTCGACTATTATGCGCACAACCTCCACCCAATAGACCCATCTTGCCACCTTCGAGGCCTTTGGAAGATTTGGATAATCCTTCAGTTGGGTATTTCTCACTGGCCAAACGAACAACCAAAGGCCGTCCACAAGCCATTCGTCCATGCATTTTCTCCTTGGCCTTTATAGCTTCCTGCATTCTCACTTTTAAAACCAGGAATCAGTAATTTATAATTTTAAAATATAACAGAAAATGAAGAAACTACCTTCCGAGATTTTTTTTGCTGTGCATAATACTTTTCATTTTATCAAAACTAGTCATTTACTATTTACGAAAAGTATTCTTTCATAATCGTGATTGCACAATGAAGCCATTTCGTGTTACTATATTCAAAAAACTAAATTCTTGGTCAAGATATTACAACCCCAATAAAAATTTAGATTGAACCTATCTGTAAAACTAAAGACAAAACTCAAAGGGAAACTTACCTCTTTATTACTGAACTGGATAAAAGCATAACCACGTGGCTCTCCACGTTTGGGGCCACGAGTATGCCATAAGAAGTCCTCAGAGACAATCTTTCCAAATGGAGAAAACATCTTAATTAGAGCAGCCCTGAAAAAATTATTTAAAAGCGTCCATAAGCTAGCAACCAAAACTGGGATTCCAAAAGAACACTTGGGCTATGTGTGTCACTTACTCTGTTATCCGCAGATCAAGGTTACCAATGTAAAGTCTGCTCTCTAATTTCTCATCACTAAAAATATTGGCGTCCTAACATTGGCAACAAAAACAAAGTTAACGTCCATCCAGTAGAAAATACAGCTATCCATTAGTTCAATTTAAGTCTCCACAAGACTACACCTACGAGAAAATTTCGAAGCCAACCAAAAAAAGAAAAAAAAAAANTGAAAAACATTTATCAAATAACCCAATCTCAACATGCTGGAGATTCCAGGGCTAAAGGTCAAACATTGAATGCTAGATATTCATCATTAAGCTAAAAACATCAAGTAATAACATAGATAGCTAGTGGATATAATAAGATAATGTTACAGGTAAAATTTTTAAAACATAATAAAACGAGAGGTTTGATTTGCAGAGGTTAACAAATAAATAAGGAAAGAAAGAGTAGAAAGTATATGCATCTAGAAATCATATACCATGATACTGCCTTGACGACTTGTGATGGTCTTAGTATCAACCTGAAAGCATAAATCAAAGTTGATGATATAAGATTATTACCGTGAATCAAGAAACCAACAAACCGGATATAACACGAGAATGAAATGTGTTGTTCTAAGGATACAAGTACATTCTATTCAAGACCCCAAAAGCATTCCTTTAATTGGCATGTGCAAGGAAGCAGAATGAATAAAATACAGCTTGTCAAATGTCTCTAAAATTTCAGCTAAGTTCAACCTAGGATCCCACCCAACTGTGAATAGACAATCAATGCAATTTAAGATATTTCAGAATTCAGAATGAAAATCAAATCCTCACGAGATGCCTCAGCACCTTACTAGAATCTAGCTATATCCAATTCAGCTACATTCAGATTAAAAAAAACCCATCTTGCTATTAAAAGAAACAATGATAAAACCGTTCTCCAACACAAAGGCAAAAACAAAGCAAAAACAACAATAACAAATTAACAATGACTCTTTGCTTCAGTTTTTGAGAAACAATGATAAAACCGTTCTCCCATACAAGATTGCCTTCTGTGCATCGGCAGGTTAATCGTAGATAAGAACAGAACAACAGTTGCATCACAAGAAACAACAAATTAATCATTCAGAAAACCCTAAAATCCAAAACCCACCTAGAAACTGGGTATAACACAAAAAAGTTGAAATCTTTTTGAAGCTTTCAGTAAGAACTTACCAGCGATAAAAAACTCTTGAATTGAGGTTAAAACCAAGCTGGAGAATCGTTCGATTAGGAGTCGAATTTCGATGGAATAAAAATGGCTCAAGGGAACGCCATTCATAGTAGTTGACTAGTCTTAACGACCAAATATAACATGTTCCATCAGGCCAATAGCCCATGTCATCACGTAGCCCGTTAATATTGAGACTTGCTTTATATTGGGCCGAATGACTAACCCTTTGTATACCACTAATCTATATAACATTCTTCTTCTTTTTTTTTTCAAAAATCAATTTAAAATTGGCATAATTGCACATAAAATCATTACTGTTTGTGTAATTGCAAATAAATATCAAACATTTATTATGTGTTGTAAATTTATCTCAAAACCATTTTCTGGTCAATCTTTGTTGATGTGCCTGATCAGAAATCTTACGTGGCATTGATGAGGCTTGTGTGACACTCAACTTTTTAAACTCCAATAAGTAAACCTCAAAATCCAAGAAGCCTAAATTTGAAGCCCTTCCCAATTGAAACCCTCAAAATACAAAATAGAATTAAAATTTACCCGTTCGACATTGACGAAAGTCACAAAATCGCCAAACCTCTCGTTTCTATGCTTCACAAAATACTAAAATCGCCTAAAAATCACCTGAAAATCGCCCCCTCTGCCAAATTTTTCAGAATTTGGGGTGAGCTCATAAATGTATTCGAAATGTTGGAGGTGAACTCGATTTTTGGGGGTGAAGATTTGCCCAATGGAGAAGAGAAAAATTGCTGCAATTTTTATTCTTTATTTTTTCAACTGGGGGAGAAGAACTTGATTTTTATGAATATTATGGTGCCAAAAACATGGTGATAAAATCTTAATTTTGCAATTGGTACTAAACTCTACTTTTGGTTAATTTGTTGGCATATGATGTGGCAAAAAACATGGTGAGGAGTTTAAATTGACTGCCACACAAGCCTCGTCAGTGCCACGTAAGAATTATGATCGGACACGTCTGTAAAGATTGGCCGAAAAATGGGTTTGAGACAAATTTGCAACACATAATAAATGCTTGGTATTTATTTGTAAATATAAAAAAAGTTGAGTTTTATTTGCAATTATACAAAAGGTGAGGAGTTTATGTGCAATTAAGCCTTTAATATTTTAAAACTACTTACATTTGCTCACCTTTTAGTTTTATACTTTAATTGTGCTGATTTTTTTTTTTTATTATTTGTAAATCTGAAAGCTTATGTCAGATATACATAATAATATAAAATATAATTTTGTTAGCAAAAGAATAATTAAATAGTATAATTGACGTGTATTAATTTATAATATTTATATAAATATATTTATTAAGTTAATAATATCAAAAAGTTCTTACAATCTACTATTATCACACATTTCTTTTTGATACAAACAACTGGTCAAAATACATAGTTATTACAATCTACTATTACCAAACATTTTCCTTTTGATACAACTAAATACATAGTTATTACAATCTACTATTATCAAACATTTTCCTTTTGATACAACTAACCGGTCAAAATATATAGTTATGGATTGAAAAATATATAGTTATCACAATCCATTGATCAAAACAAATATCATAATCCATTAACTACCAAACAAGGTCATATCTATGATTGTAACCCCAAGTTTTCAACCATGTCTTTAACCAATATGACAATATGGAATCTCTCACAAAGACCATTTATCTAAATTGCATTGCACCATATTTGATGAGTCATAACACCCATCTTTACAATATTTAATTTAACTAGGACATAGTCCAAATAAGGATATAACTATTAGTTATTGTTATGATTTTTCAATTATATGAAATAAAATTCTTAATTAGTTAATGTGATAAATGAGAAATAACAATTTTTCCAGGACCGAATGGAATAATATACAGNAAAAAACATCACTGAGAAAGTCACTTTCTCTGAGCAAGCCACCAACCAGTAAAAGCAACCAAGAAGAAACTAAAATTCATCAAGCCAACATTCACAACGATGTTACAAAGCTCATGAAAACCCAGGAAACAGAGGTGAAATCAAATTGGAGACAAACACAACATTTGTTCAGCACAACAGAAACTTCAGAGCTTGGCCAGACAACAAATGGCTTATCCTTTTCCACAAATGGGTTTTCCTTTCTTACCCTCTCACGAATCGATTGGCCACAAAGGCATTGACTCGTGAGTCTTCACCTATTTTAAGAGACGAAACTGCCTGAGCCGCAAGATGTCCAGCTGAAAAGCTAACAGAACCCCAAACATCACCAAAGTATTGTGGGCCAAAGCCTCTGTCAAGATTATTGGCAGGGCCCACCAAGTATGAATGCCCCCACAAATTCGACGTTAGCCCATACTGATTACTGTTGGAGATCATGCCAGCATTTTCGCATGGATATTTCGACAGATTATAAAAATGAGGCCGTCTTGTCCCCGTAATGAAGCCGATGTTGCTCGAGTGATTCCAAGAGGTCAACCCCTCATCCTTCTTCAGATATATAAAGGAGAACGTAAAGAGAATGAACCAGAAAGAGAGAGAGAGAGAGAGGAAAAAAGGAAGTTTAATGATACATAATCTTTAGTGTTAACATAACAAGCTGTATTTGCTTAAAGATTCAACAAATAGGGAATACTCAAGAGAAAAATTCTAAAACAATCCGCAATCACCCCTTATTTTGATTCTGTTGTTGAAAGATATAATAACAACAACAACAACAACAACATACTCAGTATATTCCCAACAGGTTGGGTCTGGGGGGTCAGTTGTACGCAGACCTTACCCTTGTAATTATACAAGGAGGTTGTTTCCGTAGCGACCCAAGGTGCATTGCGCCGTTTGATATATATTTTTTTTTTTCTAGAAACTTCACTAATAGAAGAAGCACTAGAATTTAATTGAGCCATTTTGATCTAGTCCATTATTAGCACTATGCCAGGAGAATTGTCAACAATGACTCTTCCAATATAATATATACCAATATACATTAGCAGAACTATTTTCTCAAACCAAATAAAACAAAGAAACAATGATACATCCATTTAGAGTAACTAAGGGAAGACAATAGGCAATTCATTCTTTCCCCAAATGAATAAATAAAAAAATAAAATTCAATTTCTGTATATTTCAACTGTAAAAAGATCACTTATGGGTAATAGCATACTAATAGCTCATTCAACATGCCACAAGGGTACATATATCACAAATTATCATGAGTCCAGGTTAGTTATTCATATGCATGAAAATATTTTCTTAACTACCAGAACATTACCTTTTGCTTTCTACAAAACCCCAAATAAACGATGCTTTTCGAGAAGGTAAGGACAGTTCCATACCTTCTCTGAGTCGTCCGAGTCTTCACCAAGTAGGACTTGTAGTGCAACGGATTCAGCTATTGCGGCACCTTCTTCATCGAGCCTCTCTTGTTCTTCTTTCTTCTTCAGCTTTTTCTTCTCCAGTTCGGAGCGTATGGCTGCAGATGTAGCCAAAGCCTTTTCCAAACGCCTTTTTTTCTTCTCAGCCTGTTTAATTCGATCCAACTCGTCCTTTACCGGCTTTTTCTTGGGTTTTCTAACACTGGCTGTTACCTTAACACACTCCATTATGATTTATATCCACTCGGAAGTTTGAAATTTGAATTCCCTTTTTCGTTGCAAAGGAAAATATTGTTAAGATGTATTCATTATCTAATTACAGGTCTGTCCCCTTCGGTTATCGTAAATTTTGATTCAACACTTAACTAACTTAGATGTAAAGTTGGAAACTACTTAAATATGTGAAGCTGATATACCTACACAACCTCGGGTCTAAACGAGTACCTCATTTTTCTAACGCTACATTCCCAAAAAGAAATGACAGGAGACAAAAGAAGTGAAAATTGGTGAAAGGTTAAGTATCTGTCGCACATCATTCTTCCTAATTTTGCACGAGCCTCGCCACTCGTTTCACATGCACAGAGTACAAGAATGAAATAAAGACAATCTCAAGTAACTATTTCTTTCTCTTTAAAACAGATCACATGGCCTTCCTCCTGCAATGCACGGAGAATAAACTTAGTATATGTCTAACATGAAGTAAAGCATCATAATTCAAGGCCAGTTCCCACCAGACAGATGGAGCTATTACACAAAATACAAAATGCGTGCAATATTAACATGAAAAGTCATAAAGAATGATTCATTACCATAATAAATACTGTAATACAAAACAAGGAAAATTACTAATTGGAAGATATTATGTCACCATTTTCAAGTTTTCAAAACTATGCGTATAAAATAAAATAAAAGGTACTCAGGCAGCAATTGAATCATCAAAGCCTTAAAAGAAGTACTCAATTACCAAATAAAACCACAACCCATAGAGAGGGAAAAAAACAAGATAACTAATTTGGCTATTCTTTATTTCTTAAATTTATTATTCTCTTTTTAAAATACGACAGCAAATGAAAAGGGAATTTCGGAAAACTAGTAATAACTTAACATAACCGCCCACATACACTTTCTTTTTCAACAACTAACAACCAATTCCAGTTTATAGAATACAAAATTCAACAGACAAGAAGTAGTCTGAGATTTATACTATTAGAACAAAAAGATAACTGACGATTTAACTTCGGATACAACATCAACGACTCAGGCTAACAACTTGTCCCAGGATCTCCAGATCCGCCAATAATACACAACTGAATCAAATAACTGATTCGCTCAAAAACCTCAATAATCGAACATACGATCTACTCAACACACAAGCCCAAACCTCAATCGCAACAAAAGAATCAATCTTCTTTGCAAGTTTCCAGATCACATCACAAATTACACGAAACTTATCCACATACATATAGTTAATTACTCACAAACAGTCGAGATCAAAATGTTAAATACTCGAGTGGATTAGACAAACCTGTAAAGATGTGGATAACAAGAAAAAAGGAAGATGATTGTATTTGACTAGTAGTGTTTTTTGGATCTGTAAATTAATCTGCGTTGCGAGAGAGAAATGCAAAGAGTATGGGTTTTAAAAATAGGAATATCAATAGAAATTGGACACGTCAAGAATGCTGGCTAGAGAGCGATTTCGTTGGGCTTTTTAGGTTTGCTTGGATATAAATTTTAGTTAGTGTTATAAAACTAGAGAAAAAAAATATATAGAGAATGCTTTCTGTTGTATTTTTATTATAAATGAAACTCCTATTTATAGGAAAATTTCTGATGGTATAATTGTAATAATATAATTATATCAGATGCAAAATAGTCATTCACATATATTATTTAATAATAAAATATATTATGGTAGGTGGTGGTTACACCCACCACACTTATCATATTATAACACTCTTCCTTGAATGACTATTTTATAAATATATTTTAATTATTATTTGGACAAAGTTTAATCTGAACATCTTGAATTGTATCTTGTGTCCATCAAATACCGCTGCTTCAGCATGTAAGGAAAACCTAGTGTGAGAAAACCCGATCATTTTCGAATCATAATATTGCTCCTTCAGAAAAACCCGGTGGGACATAACCTGAGTATTGTGGAAGCACAACTTTGCTCCCCCTCAAATATATCATCTTTATTAGAATATCCGTGCGCTGCCTCTTTAAAACCTTGTCAAGAAAATTCATTGGGAAAAACTTGATCGAAGGAAAAAGAGTACAGTTATCCTAATGTCTTCTTATCATCATGAGGAATTATATCAATTATTTAGTAATCCTCATTATACCATGAATATGCCTCGTTAAAACCTTATCTATACATATAGAATAAGAATTACCATTTATCAAAAATGGCAAGTCAACTATTAGCCAAATTCTCTCTATCATTAATTATTTTACATTAATGGAAAATCTGGCACCATTAATGTTGTCCTTAATTTATGGGATCAGTTCCTTTCAAATTGGAATTTGCGGCTGATTGTATCAATATGTGGCTAATTATTTTTTTTCCCCTAAAAATGTGGTATTGGTTCAATTCAATTTTGAACGGCTGTAATGTGTATGTTCAAATTTAATATATCATTTTTTTATTAAAAAAAATATTTTTTTCCCTAAAAATGTGGTAATAGTTCAATTCAATTTTGAAAATGGGTCTGATTCATGTTGAATTGTGGTTGTAATGTTTATGTTAAAATTTAATATAACATTTTTCTTTTTATTAAAATCGATCAAAATATATATTGATTTGGTCATTTTTTAAAAATCATCATTGCTATCACATAATATTTTTAAATATTTAAATTAAATTAATACGACAAAACTTTATTTTTACTAATGAAAAATCGCAAATTTTTTTATCAATATGATATAATATTCAGATATTTTTTAGAAAAAAATAATATATAATTCCGTTAACATTCGAATTGAATATGAAAATAAATTGTAGGATTTGTTACAAAACTCGAATTGCATATCAAACTTTCTAATATGTAGGATTTGCTACACTTTCTATTTCAAAAATCTCTAAATAGATTATCAATTGACTGGAACTCTAGTTGTTGGTAAGTACTCAATTTTGAATTGTTCGAATTTCTAAAATCCAATAAGTCAGTGTTTTAAAATTTAAAGTACCTAATATAAAGGATTTGGTTCAGTTTATAATTTAAAGATCTCTACATAAATGAAATTTGAATCTCATAACAAAGAAATTAACAATTGACTGAAACTCTAATTGTTGGTTCTCAATTTTGAATTGAGTTCGAATTTCAAAAATCCAATAAATCAACAACAATTTTTAAAATTCTAATTACCTAATATAAAGGATTTGGTTCAGTTTATAATTCAAAGATTTCTGGATAAATGGCAACAACCCAATCACAATAGTCAAATACATGATTGGAACTCATTTTGTTGGAAATAATTTGATCATGAATGGAATTCGAATCTCACTTATTTTTCCAAAACTTGATCTGATTTAAAAACTTTTTCATTGGGAAAAATCGATCAGCCGTAAATTACAGTTATAATATTTTATAATGAAAATAATCTTTTGAGATGCTATCTTTGTTTTCAGCCTCTTTCATAATTTACATGCTACTATAAAAAACAACCTAAGCATCCACATCAAAACACAAGCAAACATACAATCAAATCTAGATAATAGGCAAATAAATTTTTTTTGAGATGCTTTTTTTTTTTTTGNCCTCTTTTGAGATGCTTTCTTTAAAAAAAATATAGAAAATTTTTAATAATTAGATCATTTAATTTTTAGATGTCATTGGAGTCGTTATTGATGTTCAAAAGTATTTAAGATAAGCAAGTGAAACAAGGTGATACACAAATAGTGGTCTTCATTATGATGGACTTGAAGTAAGTATTAATTTTCCGAATAATCTATATATATATATATATACAGAGAGAGAGAGAGAGAGAGAGAGATGCATTTATTTTTTTCTGAATAGTTCAAATATTTTAAATTTATTGTTTATAATTGAAATGTTGCACGGTTTGAGGAGAATATGTAGTTCAACTTCTGACTTTCGAGAGCCACTATGAACAAACTGGTCTTCCTGGGTTCTAATAATGCAACTTGCACGCGCAAAATAATATTGTTGTTAGTTGCACCTGTGATTAATTAATTATTTCCTCATCTTATTTGTTGTCTTCAAATTTTTAATTTTTCTGCTTAATTTAAAATTATATGTAAAATCCAAGTAACAACCTCCTTGAATGTGACCAAGCTGATTGCACACGACTTCGTGTCAGAGATCGTTGACTTTTGGAGAAGGTCGTATTTAACCAAAAAAAATACATATATTATTTTTTATATCATTTTATTTAATAATTTAATTCAAATTTTTAGGTACACTGAAAGCAATTTGGTTAGGAGAAAGTACATTTCCAAATCCAAAAGACTGAGATTGATGTTTTGGAATATGGTAACATTGTCGTTTCTTCGATTGATTCTCTCTACGAAATTATGAAGGTAACACCTATAATTCAAGAAGAAATAAATTTTATTAGGATTTTGAATTTTATTTTATTATTTTTTAATACAAGATAATGACAGGAGATAACGCTGATTCCTAGAATGAATATCACTCTATCAGATCTTAGGTTCTATTTAAGTTCCAGCGTCTGGCAGTTCCTACTTATGGTTTCATATGCCATGACTATAAACAATAGTCAGGGACAATTTTTTTCGCACGTTGGTTTGGTCCTGAAGAATCCTGTTTTTAGTTATTGGCAATTATATGTTGTTGTTTCACGTGTAACTAATATAAGGGGATTGAAAATATTAATTTGTGAGAACTCATAATGTTGTATACAAAGAGGTTTTTAATAATATAAGATTGAATAATTTTTCTACGTATTATAACTCTCTTATAAATGAATGCATGCCAAATTATAATATTTTCCAAATTTATATAGCTCGTGCATCGCACGGGATACGCACTAGTATACCTGAAAAGGACTTGGGGCCTAAGAAACATTAAAGGTGATAACTTTTTATTCTAATAATTTTAATAAATAATATTAAACCTCAAGAGATTAATCACATATAGTTTTTTCCTTCTCACACTACAAAAAAATTGTTATATTCCAACTGAAAATCTTATGGTAATATATTCCAATGGAAATTCCAACGAATATTCCAATGGTATAGCTTCCGTTGGAATGATTCCAACGAAAATATTCCGTTAGAATGTGTTTTTCATTGGAATTTTAGATGAAATTTGATGATTCCAACGGCTATTTACAGTAGGAATTTCCGTTGGAATGTGTAATTTCCGTTGGAATTTTTATTTCCACCCCCGTTAAAAAATTTACCGTTGGAATCGCCTAAATCCAACGGAAATTCCAATGGAAAACACATTCCAACAGAATATTTTTGTTGAAATTTCCGTTGGAATCCATTGAAAAATTCCAACGGAGATAATAGCATTAAAATATCCATTGGAATTGTCATTGGAATTCTGTTGAAATATATTTATGTTGGAATTTCATCATTTTCTTGTAGTGTCAGTTGTTTCATTTCTTTTATTTATTTTTTTATCATTTTCTCCTTCACACGTATTTTCATATCTATTAATTGGTGTGAATTCAATATATTATATCTTGTGCAAGCATTAGAATTTGCATGCAACAATTAACATCAAAATAAAGATTCATTTACAAAAGTAACAGACGTAGGCTCCCCAACATTGTTCTATGTTTCTCATCAATTTATATTTTTCAAGAAAACTTAGCAGTTGTTTTACCAAATAAAGTGGTTAATCGATGCATATATATATACATATATATATATATATATGTATATATATATAGGATGTGGTTCAAATGAGAACCAAGTCCTAGCGTGAGAACCGTGAGAACAGCTATTTTTAATTGTATGTAGTGCTATGATTGATTGTATTTAGTGCTATTTTTAATCAGGATGTATTTTATTAAAAATAGCAACTTAGCATTTGTAAAAATGATAGCACCATGTAAGATTAAAAATAGCATCATACACAATTAAAAATAGCATCAAATATGGTTCTCACGGTTCTCACACCAGAAGAGGTTTTTATTTGAACCACTCCCTATATATATATATATATTAAGGTGAATCAGCTGGAATTTTTCCGCCCATATTTGCATTAATTTTTGTACAATTTTTATGTTAGTAACTTTCACATTATTTTATGCATTGTCCTAAATTCAACCCATTAGTGTATTTATTGCACTTAAATTTGTATATATTGATTACAATCTTTGGCCAAAATTACTAACTTTGAGGACAAGGTGGTCTTCTTGAAAACACAAAAGAATAAATATGATCATATAAAATCTAGAACTAAATATATAATTAATCTATTTTTCAAAATGAATTTATGTAACACAACTATTAAAATGATACCTAGAAAAAAAGAATTATATTATCATGTTAAATATTACTTTGAGTGATGGATTATTCAAATAATCATATTTAATGTAGTTCACTAATTGCCAAATTAAGAAGAAATAGTAATTATATTATAATAAATTAAGTTTGGAATTAGAATAAGGAATATTTAAAATATAAAGTTAAAAAAATATTGTGCTTACCACGTCCTTTACGATATTTTTTTGTTTTTCCACTTTAATGAAAATCAGAATTACGTAGTTACAACAATTT